AACGCAAACTTCCCTGCATGTTTGTCAAACACTGGAGATGACAGGGTAGATTTCCTCCCCAGACTTATAAAAGACACTCCTCTGCCAATATTGGCCTGGCCTGCATAAATTAATGCTTTATTAAACCACATTACACACTCCTCAAATATTCAAGAACGACACAATGACACTTCTGGTGTGGAGAAGAAGATCTTGTAAGTTGTTTCAAGTCTGACCTATGAGCTGTTAGAGAGGGGAAGAAAGAGAAAGAGGAAGTGTCCCAGGGGTTCACACAGAACAACTACCGCTCTGTTCGCAATCAAGTACGGACATGACGTCACTATCCTGGGAGCAGTATGTATGGCCTGTTCTTCAACTCTGTGAATGTTTGGAGGTGTAAAATGAAACACATGTCAACCAGACTCATTTTTGCTCGCTGCAACAACTCTCCACATCTAACCTACCTTTTTTCCTTTGAAGAAGAGTTATGTATTTCTTTGTGTTTGTCTGTCTTAAATATGATGACATGGATAAAATTCATAGGCTGGTCACATGCTATTCAGGATTGTTTTCCTGCTGCAGACTTTCCATTTCCTGCTGTGAATGTCAGATGATTGACAGTAGTGTATGTGTAACATAACGCACATACCCTAACGCAACATTTCTCAACTTGGGCATTGAAGTAACAACATAGAAATGAAGGCTTAATTTTAATGTGATGGATTATCCAGTCTGGGAAATGTTCGAGTCTGTGAAACTTGTTTACCATGCAGCACAAGAATTAATGGCAGCTAACGTCTTCCTCTGAAAGAATGACGGCAAGCTCTGATATCTCAAATTATGGTAATAAGTAAAGAAGAGAAATAAAACAACTGCCGTAAAAATAAAAAATGGAATTTATTGGTAAATTTGAAGAAAACCAGTAAGACAAAGTCAGTATTTAAAGAGACACATCCACACTGGTGTTTCTCCTCTGATGTATTGTAGGTATGTAAAGTACTGCTTCATTGAGATCTCCCAGGCTCTACTTTTTTGTTCAAATGCCAAGGCAGAACTTATTTCTAATCATTATTAAACTCTGGCCACACCAGAAGTTTATCCACGGGTCCACACAGGAAAAAGTTCACCAAAGTTAAAGGTGATGCAAAAGATTGAACCCCTTGATTTTGCCCCCTTGAGCAAATCCCCTAACTGCAATAATCAATTGGAATAAATTGATTTTGATGCAAAATATCTCTATAGTTTTCAGTACTGGTGGGCCTTTATAAATCTTTATAGATCTTTTTTGTTTTTTTACGGCAGACCCACCTGGGTGTAATTATTAGCATTAATAATGTTGATAATATGTGAGTTCAGAGTCTTAAAGGGGAACTTCGGCAGATTTCGGCAGAAGAGAGTGGAGATCGGAGGTGTTCACAAGGGAAGAAGCTTGGAGTAAGAATAACGTGTGTTGATCTACTGTGGAGAAGAAATGGTTCGCGTTTTTTCCCAGTGGGGGAGGGAGGGAATACTTTTCTTTCCTCCGATCTCCCACTCTCTTCTTCTTCGCGTGTTTACCCTGCACAAGTGTCGCTCTTGAAGCTCCTTGGGTTTCAACTTGTTTGGAGGAAACGCAGAATTGTTGCAGGAAGTTTGTTGAAACCGGAGAAGTAGTTGTGTGAAACATGGACATTTTTTTTGAGGGGAAAAAACTTTTTTTCGTCGCTAAAGGCATCTATCTGCCGTGATCGAATTATTTGTGGCTTTCCGGTGGAAAGCGACGGTGGACAAAAAAGGTTAGGCGACAGTACTGTTTTTTGTTACGGTTTTCTACCACAAAACGTATGAGTTGAAAAGGCATTTTTGTGTCGCGAAGGTAGGGCCTTGATCAATGTTGCAACAGACATTTTTATTACAATTTTGTGTCTCGTTAAGAGGAGCAAGAAGGCAATCTTTTAGGATATGCCCCCCAAGAAGTGTATTAAAACTAAACTGTGGGGAGCTTGCCATTTAGCTGGAGAGAGCCATTGTTAATGTTATAAGTTGCACCTGTGCCTTTCCTACTTTGCCAAGTCAAAATGTCTGAAAAAGGGTTACAGGGCATTCATTGACCTCCTGTAAATCTCAGCCTGGCTCCGCCCAACTTCAATCTTGATGAGGTCTAATCAGGCAAAATAAATGAAAACACCAGTGTGGATGTGCCAGTGGTATGTCAGAGTTTTAAAACCTCCCAAAACAAAACAAAAAATGTCCTCAAACAAACAAACAACAACAAAAAAAAAGGTAATATCTAAATAATAATCTAATGGGACACTCTACTTTGAAGCAAAGAGAAATGAGGCCACTATGCTTTGGTTTGTCATGCAGAAGTTAGAAGTCTGTATTTGGCAGTGACTGTAGCTGTTAAATTGCTCCAACAAATATTTACAAATCCCCTCTTCATCACCCAGTTCTGGCGCTTTGACATGGCAATGATTACGGGTACAATAACTAATCCCTCATTAATGTTGAGTCCACACTGCTCCGACTCAAAAAGATAGGAAATCAATGTACCTTTGCCTAAAGCAAGAACTGAGAGCTGTCCATCTCCAATGTTTAAACAGCACCTACTCTCCATATTGAAAGATTGTTAGAGAAGTAAGAGGTCCTGGACCTACTGACAGCAACATAGTATCCCTAGGACAACAATAATAATGTTTAATGAGGAGGGGCTTTGAGACATTTCTACTGGAGCAATCACAGCTGAGGTGATTCAGATCACGTTAGGTTCTTGTTTGTTAATTTGAGGGTAAGAAAGACAAACCCCTCTGCACCCAAAATCCACTGGGAGGGAGCCAAAGACAAGAACTGGTTTAGAAGAAAATAAACATTTTCTCTTTAATTCTCCCTAAACCGTTGACGGGGCTTTTTCCATTCTTACAAAATGTAATGTTGATTTGAATTACAAATGCAGACGCACATTGCAAATATGTACTTTGCCAAAAGATCCCCATGGCACTGAGTTGCTCTTTAAAGATTCATAAAGCATTTTTCAGAGCCCATCTCCCCACGTTTAAGTACTCCAACTCCCAACAGAAATGGTAATGTATTGTTCCAAACATTCTCATTGCAAGCTTGTTAAGGAGTTAAAATTACAATTGTTGAGGCGTAAAGACATTTTACAGTTACAGTCTTTCCAATCTGAGGCCTCAGCAAAAAATAAAATAAAAACTTGAAACCACTATGACTCTGAAAGGGCTTGGATTAATGTTGCCAGCTCATGTAAGTCCAGTGAAGCAGTATAGTAGAGCAGCCATGAATGGCAGTAAAGATAACACCAGCAGGCTGAAATGGCTCTTCAGAGGTCTTCATTCTGTCTTTGGTACACAGTTGGATCATCCATTAGGACCTCTGGGTTGCTTTACAGACACTGACATACATGCAGACACACATACAGTAAAGCACACACACTGTGTCTGGCTGATCCAACATGGTGACCCTTTGTTATCTGCTCCTCGCCAGCTTTGTTTGTATGGATCATCTGGAAACTGCATTTGTTGTAGCTGTTTTGGAGACACACTAAAGGTGTGAGTCAACAAACTCCAAATGCACATCCTGACCCACTGATGTTGTCTTCGAACAAAAAGGGCGTCTGAAGCATAAAATGAACAGATGGTGCGAAAGTTGAATTCTTAACACTGAAGAATCAATAACTGTCTGTTTCAAAACAGTGAACAGCTCTGAAAATGGAGCTGTGCAGCTCTGGTAGACAGTAGTGACCAGGAAATGAATCCACCTCTCTATGGTGGCCAAGTGCTTTTGCTTTTGTACAGAACAAAAGGAAAAACTGTTTTTGACACACTCAATAATTTACTTTTTATACTAAATGCATTTTTGCCTACACTGAGGCTGTACAGGTCACCTTCAGGGGTTCCTAACAGTCCACATGTCAACATTAGACATTTAGTCATTCTTTTGTTTAATAGCAGCTGAGGGTAAATATGGCCAATTTAGGTAGCTCACCAACTAAAGCTTTCCACTAGAAGGGACTGCCTGTCTGTATTTTTTGTATAACCAATTAGAGGTGTGCTGTCCACATGAATTTGGACTCTGAGCTGTCAAACTTTCTGCACAGGAAACCTAAAATGAAATAGGTTTCTGGCTGAGCGTGTCCCAAATCTGCCTCCTCTGAGAGTTCTCCTATTTCTTACATTGATATTAATCTTTTGTTTAATTTTCTGGGTGAACTGAAAGACACCTATCAGCACAATCTCTGCACTTTTAGATAGGATATAGGCTATGTGTTGATCATGAAAACCTTTGATTGTGACTGACCTGAGTCTACACAGGCATAAATAAATAAGACCAGACTGGACCACAAAGTTATCCCAAATGAAGACACACATGTGCCCCAATATAAAACACGCTAAAATCGGGATTTCAACTCTCATCCCAACATCGTTCAAACTGCCAACTCACTCTTCCTTTTTAGTTGTTTCTACCTTTCTTATTAACTCTCTGCTACAAAAAAAACAGATTTTATATTATGTAAGCAAGCTGAATGACAAGGGTTAGACCTTGAGCTGATGATAGAAGACAGGGGAATAAATGGCATGAATCATGAAAAGGCAAGCCTTTACAAAACCCCCCATCTCTAAGTACAGTATAAAGTAAAAAATAATTTAATACTCTGAAGTTTTACATATAATATACTGTACTTTAAAAAAAATATAATATCACATTTATGGGATAAAATGATCAGATCATATGGAAATATTATAAGAATATTACTGGACCTTGAGTAAATGCAATAACATAGAAAAATACCACAAAGCAGGTTAAGCGCTATATAAACTACCCACACTATGAGTCCCTGTAGGAATATAAGAATAAGGCATTTGATGCAGCATTAACCTTATTTCATACTTTATTAACGCCACAGACGCCAGGTCGTGTAACCAGGCTGTTTAATGTCCTGTCCTGCACACACAACCCCCACTCTCTCCCTCCCCTCTTGGCAGTGGTTCTTCCCGGCAGCACTCAGCATCTCTCCAGCAGCGGACTCAAGGACTTGTGTGACCACCTCGACGCGCAACAGAAGGCTCTCTCTCACAATACCGGACCCTACAGCGCACAGGACAACTTTCACTAACATTATTACGCATGGCTCTGGCTCTGCGCAAAAGCGCGACCGTAACACCGTCTTGGATGAAACTGGTGGGATTCTAAGAAAATAAAAGACCACAACAAGAAGATTAAAATTTCAAGAGATTATTCTCCTTGGGCCAATAATGATCACCACATGCATGACAGGATATCATCTTCTTGCCGTGTAATTATACAGCTGTACGTGTAGGTCCGACGCATTATTTGAAATTCTCATTTCACACAGAGATGGATCTGTGGGGAGTTTATCTGTTTCATCTCATAACTTTGGGTAAGTAACCACACACTATCTTTCTTCCAACGAATTTAGCAAATTTTATAATTATCTTGTTTTAGCGGGGTGAGAAAATCATCCAACCTGCTATATTCCGAGTGTGATTAAAGATCTAATTAATCACATTGAAGGAGTTTGACGGTCGTTTGGGTGCCAAGCTGTGTATTTCAAGTCATAATGTAAAAAACAAAACAAAAAAAAATGGCATAATTGCATTACTTAATAATAATTTAAGAACATTGTGTGGTGTGCTCTGCAACAAGGAGCTTTGCATACATGCACGTGCTTAAATGTGTGCGTCTGAGCGCGTGTGTTTCTGTATGTGCGCATATAAAAACTCTTCTTTTTTTCCCCGATGGATCAGTGTGTGGATTATATTTTTGGCTTTCTGGTTATGCATATTTACTCACTACAGAAGACTGCCAGGTCTATATCATCGATGTGTGCATCACACAACATTTATTATATAGTATTAAAATCTAATTCCTTTCTACCACAATATGTCATAATTACCTACTATTTGCTTTCAAAGTTTTGTAGGGGACTTGCTTTATTGTTTATTCTGGTAAATCCTCCAAAGTGACCATCCTCAACAGTACATCAGTCATTGCCGTGAGTGTCACTGAGCTACCTGCTCTCCATGTAATTGAACCAAGCTGGAATATTGATTTTTTGTGGCAACAATCCACAGTCTTGAGAGAGGAGAGCTGTGTGTTGTTACCTCATAGTGTCTCTTTGTCACTAAACACAAATGTGTCAATCCCAGTCCTGCTGCCACAGTGCTAACTGTAACTAATATCATTACAACCACTGATGACCATGAGATAATGATTCTCATTTTAAGTGGCACCAGCTTTTCTGCTTAACAAAGGCCAGAATATATATTATATCATAGCTCTTTATTCATTAATAATATCCTCTTTGAAGGTCTTCATTAGAGAAAGGAATGGAGTAAGAAATGCTGCAACCCTGCATATTTAAATAATAAAGTAATGCCCTGCTCAGGATCAATGGCTGATAAACAGATCTTTATTTCTATATATCATACAGTTTTTGGTATAATGTAGAGATGCTGATGTTAAGCGTGTTAAGCCATCAGCCCAAATCAATTAGCCAAGACCAAACTGTAAAAGGTCAGAAAGGCAGTTTAAATGACTCAACCTATTTTTGTGACATTCTCAGCAGTTCCTTTGACTCTCAAGGCTTAATATGTTCATAAAACTGAGCTCACACATTGCCCAGCTCCCTTTATTGCTCCAGATACCTGCAAGTCAACAGCCAGCAATCGCAAAATCACCACAATTTTCCAGAAAGAGGTCTTAAAGCAAACATCCAGGAACAGGATTTCTCAGCTGGGAACAGTGGGCATTATGGTTAGGCACTGTTGGATTATTTCTTGGTTTTTGCTGCCTGTTTTTGCTGGGTGAAATCATTTTAGAACAGTGAGGAATTTCTATGTATTTATTTGTGCTCACCATTTACTTACAAACATAGAGCCAGACTACGTTAAATATTCCTTTTTGGAAGAAATGATAGTGAATCTGTGGTTTGTGTTATTTTTAGTATCAAAGATAGTTAGGAATTTTGAGCCATTTTAACCAATGCTTTTCCAAATTATAGTACAGTAACATATGTGTATAATATATATATACTTTTATTTATCAACATAAATGTCTAGTAGGGTTAAAAGATTAGTCCACCAGCACTTACACCAAGAGCTTGGTTCCTTGAAGCCTGCTCAATAGGTATCGACTCAGTGGCATGCTGGTCTGAGCTGAGACATGAACCTTGAGCAGTGATGCTGTTCAGTCCAGTGTTGCAGTTCCTGAAGAAGACATTAATCTAGCAGAGGGTCAGTTTGTGCATTCAGATGAGTTGTGGAGTTCAAACTGAATCACTGTTGCTTCCAGTGTTATGAAAAATAAAAATGAATCCCAGGCAAGAAGTTGACTTTCCAACCTTTGATCTTATCTGCATGATAAATGTGCACCAGGGCTCACTTTGACAGATCCACACAGAGGCTCAAAATTATATAGAATTAAGCACAATTGTGCAGTGCAAGTACTTTTTTTTTATTGGGTTAGATAAGCATTTTCCTGCAGTATTAAATTGAAATGGTAAAGGGGACACCACAGACACATCACAGCCATTTTATATCAAGGTGCAAGTCATAACTGTAGCACAAGGTGATTGCGTTTAATATTAATGAGTCAAACTGAAAGCGTGATCTCTAGTGGCACCCAAACTAGTAGAGGTTGCAGTGAAAAACCATTAGTAGCAGGGATATGCAAATTGGTTATAACTCTTCTAATAATTAAATGTTTCTGATTAAGGCCTATCATAGCGTTTTAGATTTTTAGATTGTTTTCGTCACTGTATAAAATCTACTATTTTTAACCTCCTTCTTCAATCAGAGCTGCTTTTTAACTGCAACCGCCACCAGGTTGAGCCTACTACCAACATGCTATATTTTTTGATTTAATGGTTTTGACATTGTGGGATATGACCTGTGTCTTCAGTGGAGGCAGATAAGTACTGCCAAGCATGCTATTACCTAGCATATTGGCTGGCCTCTTGTATGGGATTTGTCATGAATCTCATTTGAGGCAGGTAGCACCCGTGCCGAACATACAGCCCATCATATGCTCATCGTTTCTTCATGTGGGACAGATAGGTCAGTCATTGCAATCCCTGTAAAATATTGGCCTTACTAGTGAGAGGAAATAGTGATGAATATGGGAGTTTCACTAAGATGTTTATACCATTTACAACACAGAATTAAGACATATTTGAACCTTTATACTCACAGTTGGTCAGGGTTTATTGCTGGTTCAGTTCCATACACATCACTACTAACCCAGATTGTATAATTGTTCGTGCTTGATTGGGATGATGTTTTATCAAAGTGTTTGCACTAGAGATTCAATCTCGTTATTATGCACATTTTATGTCAGTTTATGAAAAGTTAATGTATCAACTGCCTTTCTACAATCATTTGTGTGATTAAGAAGAGCAAAATTTATGTTTGAGAGTGCTAGAAATCATGGTTTTGTGGCACTTTTGTTTTATGGACTCCTCTGTTTCCAAATGAGTTCCAAGAGAGGAAATGGTATTTAACAGACTATATCATTTGGTACTGAATGTAGAGAAAATGTAGCCCTCATCCAGACCTCATCACCCCCCACATCTCTGTTTTGTTCAGTGCTCCAAATCAATTAAGTGAAACAGAATAAAAAATCTGACTAGCAGCACTGTAGTATCTGGGCTCGCTGCACATTTTCCAATAATGTCTACCCTAGCCTGGAGAGTATTTTACTCAGTGGTAAGCTGTTCAGCTTAACAGAAAAAAAAATAAAAATAAAGCATATTTTCTCTATGATTGTCCATTTGTAGCTACAAGCAACACATATGGAGCATAAACTTTCTAACTACACTCAGTTGCCAGTTAATATCAAAGAGTATTAACTAAATATTGGAATAATTCAACACCACAAACTCCAAAATGACCATAAAGTTGAATGAACGCTTCTTTAAAGTATAGCTTCAACAAAAACTGAACAGTGTAACCTTCATGAAGTAGAATTTATTGCAGGGATGTTGTATTAGACTACATTACTCTTAGCTAGGTGTGCCTAATAAACTGGCAATTGAGTGCATTAATGAATATTTAAGATAAGATGAGATAAGAATACAAAGAATACAAGTGCATTTTAAGACTACAGGATAGTGGCAGTGGTGTGATTGTGAGCAGCAGAGTCAGAGAGACTAACAGCGTACACACTAGAATAATGTATATAATTATGAAGAGAAATTAATATTTACTTAAGTTACCAAATTAATTTTTCTGTAGGTTTTTCTAGTGATCAAGAATTTAGCAGTTTTTCAAAGGAATGAACCTTGAAAGATAACAGCTGATTACAAACTTCACCAACTGTGTTCCTCTATTTCCTTTCCTTTAGTGTCTTTTTGTTGAATTACTAGGAAACTGAAGGACACATTAAATTACATTTAACATGGTGCCAAATACTATAACAGCACGGCCAATTTTGGGGCCAAAAAGTTATTTAAAATACCTTTTTCACGAACACATAAAATAAGCAAAATATTTTTTAATAAGGATTCCTAAAATTGTATTTATTTATTAACATTAGGACTAAGATTTGAAAAGTGAACAAACTACGTAGTAGTACTAAGTTAATGACCTAAAACATATCTTTGGTATTTCTACACTCACTTCTTGTAAGGCTAATTTCAGTCAGTATATGTGCCCAGCCGATACTGACTAAGCTCTAATAACTGGTTTAATCTTTACTTTAAGTACTACTTTATATGCTGTATACAGCTGAGGAAACAAAGGAAAAATGCTATGGATTTTTTTGCATCAATGATAGCTGCGACTATGACTTAATGCATCTGTCCTAATGGTACCTTTACTGAACTTCCATAATAACTGATTATTGGTCCTCAGTCAGTGTTTCATCTCATGAGCTTCATGTTCTACAGGAAATAAAACACTATAAAGGATATGAGTTTTCCATCTAAACCCTATCAATATATTTGAGTAACATTCACTCGCTGGCAGAGCTGGGGGTTAAAAGCTTTAGAGACAGATTGACTGTTACACTTTTCCTGTGGGCTGCCTCTGTTCTCCAGCCATTGTCAGAGCCCTTAAATTTGCCTTTGTTTTTAATTAGTGAGGTTTTAAAATCTGCTTTTGAGTTGGCACATTGCCATTCATCTAATGTCAGTCAGTCTGAGGGCTCTGACCTTTAGTGGTGACAGTATTCAATTTCTCAGACAATCATCTGCCTATATTATTAAACTATAATAATTTCAAACAGTACATAAAGTTTGGAGAAAAAGCTGCTCGCAGCTGAAAAGTCTAAAAGACTGAGGTGAGCAGTGATGTTGTCAGAGCCAGCTGCAGGAGGGTTACAGCTAAAGTACCATTGATTAGACGTGATGAATGTGGGTGAAAAATAAATGAGTCTGAGTTT